TGAGACCAGTTTTTCCGAGATAGAGGAATTACTGATACTCCGGAAAAAAATGCTTGAAAAGTAGACGGTGGTTTAAATGTGGTTGAGGCGATTATTGCTCATGATAAAAACCACTGAACGGAACTAAACCAATCTGGTATTACAATTCTGGGAGATAAAAAAGTCCGGGTCGCTACTGGGGAGGTCGAATTAACGAAACATGACTGGGCTGAAATAGTTAAGTGTCATGAATTTTTAGATGAAATTAATAATGCTGCTTACCGTGGAGCATTACCAAAAAAGGAAGATATAAAGGAAAAATATAATGAGGAGAAAACACCACAAAATCATGCTTGAATGCTTACTCAGTGAACTGATAAGGATTTTGAATTTTACCTCAACAGTTTTAAAGGAGGTACCCCAAGCGGACTTCTCGATACCGAGATAAGAAATTACTGATACGAAGCAGAAACCGGCTTAACAAAAGATGGAGCCACTGAAAGAACTGCTTACAATAATGGTTGAAAAGACCCCACGCAAATTAAGAAAGGTCAAATTGACTATGAAATTTATAATTTAACTGTAAATAGTGACACGATTAATGAAACAACAATTAAAGTTGAAGTATTAAAAGTAGAAAAAGAAGAATTAGACAAAGTTAAAAGTTTAATTGAGTGAGTTAAAGAGTATACAGAGTTTGATATTGAGGACAAATTCACTGCTCGACTAGATAATTTGGATTATGCTAAATTACCTGATGGTTATAAAAGAGAGAATTTAGAAGAATTTGCCGATGATTGGTTAAATAGATTACTTGATAATGTTTTTATTGACGAGTTTATCAACCAAGGAGAAAAAACGAAACAATTTGCCGAGGAACTAGGCAATCGAGAGGCTGTTTTGGCTTATCGCAAGCAAAAAGTTGTTAGTGGTGTTGAAATTGAAATTACTGGGAAACAGGCTGGTATAATCTACAATAATGGTTGAACCAATCCAGGTCAAATTAGTATCTATGATGATACTGGTCAGATTTTTGTTGTTCATATGGGGAAAGAATTTAACCCTTTAATAACTTCATTCGACCAAGCCGAAAAAGAACTTTGGATTGAGGATTTTCGAAGGAGAAGCGGAATGAGAAGTTTAGTTGATGAAGATGAAATATGGGATTATAGCAAGAATGGAGAGGTTCCGGT